CTCCAATAAAATGCTTTTGTTTTATTTTAAGTAACAGGTGAACTTACTGAATGGGCCAATAATGTATAACACTTATTTCTTGAATTTTTCATTGGTTGTGATCGGGTTGCGAATTTTTTAATTCAACAATTTAAAAATTAGATTTAAATTGTTTAATCCCGATGTTGGTATTATAAATTGATAATTGAAAATATTATTTTGGATATTCATTCTAAAACAAATTCTGTTTTAATTCTTAATCAGATATATGCTTAAGGTGAAAATTTTTATTTTAATTTTAAGTCGTAGTTGGGATTAAAATTAAATATAAAAAATACATTTTAACCCAGTGTTTTGGGTAAATTTTTGTATATTTATAATCCGGTGTGTGGATTAAAAATTTTAAATATTTTTAGTAATTTGGAATCGGTTGTGAAAATTTTCTTAATAGACTATTGTATTTAACAGGACTTTTCTTCTTACTATTATTTTGTGTGACACTGTATATGAAACAAAAATTTTCCAGACTATAAATATTTAATTGACACATCGTACATGAACGAAGGACAATCTGTATATTCACTATAGTCGATAGATAGCGTTATAAAATTTCAGTTCACAATATACATATACATTTTTGGTATTATTTGAAGATGTAAAGGTAATGAGCGAAATTATTCTGTTCGAATCAGATATCTCAACACATATTCTCTTCATTTTCAATAATTTTATATAATTTAAAATATTTTTTAAATTTCAAACAAAATTTTCAAGTATTTGTTTATTACATATAAATTATTTTACAAACTTTTACTATTAGTTATAAACTTAAATTCAACCTAAACTAATTCATCAGCTTTTATGCGCTATGTATAGCAAAAAACAAAATATAAATGAAATTCGTTTAAAAATTAAATAAGTTGTCGCAATTAATTTTTATAACCGGGTCCCATTTTTGGTGCAGGAAAGAATTGATTCCTTTTAAATAACAAACAAAATGTGTAATACACAACTTATTGCATGAAATTATAAAAGCTTTATTCTGTTGGAATTTGATCAATCATTGAGTTTCTAGGCGATCATTGACCGCGTAGATGCTAATTCACGGTCTATATGAGCGTATACAATACATCAGGCAAATAAAAAGTCCATCACATTTTCAATGAAATGTTTATATGCCTGGAAATAAAAAATGTTACAATTGAGGGACATCCAATGTAAGGAATATATGTACGTTGATTGTTATGCTGGAAAGTGAAAAATAGAAAATACAAATTTATAAAATCACACATTTTGCACTAATGACAAATATTTTCTCATTCACTCATTTTAAGATCAAGAAACAAGATAGCGTTTGTTTGTTTAGAAAATTCGAAGTTTAAAAATATATTCCAAAGTGTGTGTATGTATGTAATTGTGTTCAAAATTCTGAAGAAAGTCGAATGTGTCTTCAAGTAGATGTTTGTAAGCAGTAGATGAAAGAATAGAAATATTAAAAAGCAATAGTAATAAAAAATATAAATGATTTTCGGCTATATTAAGTAAGCCTTTGTGAGTTTGAACCATTTGCAATCTTCGCTACATTGCCCATTCTTTACAATTGTTTCTTAAAGCTGTTTTAGAGATTCGTGGAATCCCATAGATCCTCTACTGAATTAAGATCCAGATTTGAGCGGGCCACTACAGTAACGGCATGCATGCTTTTTGGTGTACTTTACTACATGTAATGGTGCTTTGTCTTATTGAAATATCCAGTATTCGCCATGGAACCCTTCATCGAATGGGATAACCTCGCTACATACTCTCTACATATTTTCAGCATTCTTACGAGTAGAACAAAGCATATCTTGTATTCTCTTAAATTCAGCCCATACCATCAGGGATCCCCACCATTGTTGCACTTGTGGCAAATCTCACTGATAGTTCTAGCTGAACTTTAATTTTGAGCAACTCGTCATAGCCTCAGTGGCAAGTTCTCTATTGTGCCGTCTTGTGCTTTCGCTTATCTTCTGGATCTTTTATAAATTTAATGATTGATATCGGTGATTGTATCACACACGGTTTTATTTTAACTGTTCTTCAATTGAGATTTCCGTTGCAAGCGGCATTCTAAGCTAAAAAATTGTTCATTTCATTTTATTTCTTACGTTGTTGTTTTATAGCTGTCGATTTTGATGAACGTGTGTTGACGCTGCTGCACTCAGAGAACAATTAAAATATATAAGCTATTTGCTATGAAACCTTTGACCTTTCGCTCTTAAAGGTGCTAAAATGAGTAAGTGATTAGAAGTAAATCATGGCGAATAAATACAAAATACAAACGAAAACAGACTACTTAAAAATATGCTGTTATGCTAAATTTTGCCCTACAGTGCTATTCAAAATGTAACGTTTTGTTTTCTAAGTGGTAGCGTTTATTGGTAAATATTTTGTAACTTTAGAAAATACCTTATTTTGTTATATCTGGAATTTATTCAATACTTGCTTCAATCTCCCGCGTTGCTCATTATAACGTGTCATCTTTGATGACAAGGTTCATCTAAATATTCCGCATACTCAGGAAGCGATCTCCGGGTATGTTATTTTTAGTTTTCTCATCCCTTTTTAACATGATGCAAAATTTGTACAGAAAAGCTCACCTGAAATTTGTTTCTGCGTACCCCACTGGCTTTGTCCTTATTTTAGATTTCCCGTGATTCCTCTCTCTTCCTGGTCTGACAACTCCGTTTCCTAATCTTCTTCACAAATGTACAACTCGTATTTAAATAGTCCATTTGGGACTATTACGATGCTTCGTTAGAAGAACTGCTTCAAAACGTTTCCTATACTGAGCACTAATATTTTTCATTTCCAGAACAGCGTTATCATTAAGAAAATCGAAAAACTACCGAATTGTACGCGTCAGTGATCAATTGAACATGTCTTAATTTGCGATTGTGTATCGGAAATTGATCCGGAATGTAACAAAATTTTATTGGCGGAAAGCGAGTCGTGTTGCTACCAAAATTCAAATGACAATATGGATTCAAATAGCTATTATGAACATTCTGACACGTTAACCAAGACCATGGCGCGGATATGTCCCACATCTAACAGGTATAAGGAGACCTGATCTTCTTCAACAATTTCTTTATTCATTCATTTGAGCTCAGTATTACCCTTTAAACAACCACCACACTTTGAAAATGCTTTTACTACTTTACTTACATATATCATTATAATATCGATAAATGTATAGTTGGTTCAACTAAGGAGCCTTAAAAATTAAATTTTTGTTTAAATCATCTTATTTTACGCGTAGATAACAAATCCGTGAGCGGAAAGTGAATTTTTCAATAATTTATGTATATTTTTTAAAATTTATTTAACACACTTTGCACATATCACATATTCAAGTCACTTAGTTGTGGTTGTTGTAGCGGTAAAATTCTGTAGAATTCAGATCACTTAGCTGTAATTACCAGTTCAGCGTGTTAAACATTTTCTTATGAAAACAAGTAAGGAAGGGCTAAGTTCGGATGTAACCGAACATTTTATACTCTCGCAAAGTCAAATGGTATACTCGTTTGAGATTTCTTGGTCTTGATTTCTTGATTGGCTGATATTTTCGGTAGAAAGTCAACTATAGGCACTGGGGTCCACATATTTAGTACTTAGGGGCTTGAACAGTTTTGGTTCGATTTAGACAATTTTTGGTCACAAGGAGGCATACTTTAAACGTATTATTCACGCAAAGTTTTACCCCGATATAACATTGTTGCTTGATATGCATGGTGGAAAGTGAAAGAATCAGATGGAATTTAAAATGGTGTTATATGGGAAATAGACGTGATTGTAATCCGATATCACTCATTTTCGCACTATAACATAGATATATGAGAAGAATGTCATGTACCGAATTTGGTTGAAATCGGTTAAGCAGATCTCAAGATATGGGTTTTCACCTAAAAGTGGGCTGTGCCACGCCCGATCAATTTCGCGGTTCCTATAAAGTCATCTCATACCATCCCAGAGATAAATTTAATGTCTCTGGCGTGTTTAGTGCTTGATTTATCGCGCTTTTAGTAGTTTTTAACAGTACCGTTATATGGGGAGTGGGCTGAGTTGCCACCCGATTTCAACTATTTTCACACGGTTTAGGAGATATGCACATTAAACCTATTAGAGGCGGGACCACGCCTACTTTTTAAAAAAAATCTTATTGCGGAGCTTAGTTATGGTAATTTATTTGTTTTTGATTAATGGCGTTTGTGGGCGTGGCAGTGGTCCGTTAGCATATCTGCAATACCAACCGTCTCACGGTACCCAGAAACATGTCTCAAGTTTCAAGAATATCTCAATTTTACTCAAGTTACAGCTTGCACAGGGACAGACGGACGGAGCCAGTTTCAACTCGATTTGCTTCATCCTGATCATTTATATATATATAACCTATCTAACTCGATTATTTTAGATGATACAAACAACCGTTAGGTGAACAAAACTATTATACTCTTAGCAACAGGTTGCGAGTATATAAAAATATACTGAAGAAATGTAACAGTCCAATTTCTTTGCGCCGACGATTGATGGTATGGAGGAATATTGGAGATCGTCGAACTCCTTTCGCGGCGGCCTTCGCCGCGCTAAAATAACCCTGGTTGGTCAAACCAGGTGTTCATATAATCGCGTCAAACTCTTTTCGCACTGCGCCTTCGCCTTAAAAATAGCCCTGGTCGGTCCAACCGAGGTGTTCATAATTCAATCGCGTCAAACTCCTTTTCGCTGTTCTCAACCTCGAAGATAATTTTCATCACGATGCAGAGTATGTGTATTATTAATCTAAAAGTGCACTAACATTTGATTTTAATATTGTATAAATTTTCAAGCGTTTATGAAGAAGGAGTAAATACACCAAAAATTTGAACAATATGTATTTTAAAAATAAAAACGTTTTTAAATTAAAAATAGAAGTATTGAAAAATTCACTTCCCGTTCACGGATTTGTAATCTACGCGTAAAATAAAACGATTATCAGCTACCGCAGACAATTTATTATATTATCAGATACTATCAACCCTTATTATAGTAGGTAACGTACAAATGAATTGAATTCTGTTTCGCATTTCCTTATGATTCATTATTCGATACCAAATTCATTCAAACGTTTCCCACTATTATAAACTCAGTGTTGTTATCTGCGTTTTCAAGGAGACCGATTTCTGTGTATTTCTGTAAACAACAATCCAGATTTAGTATTCAACGCATAACGGTAACTATAAACCACTAGCCGTCCACAATATGGGTTTTAACAACATCGTAATTTTTGATATGATAAATAATGCGTTTTAACTCCATTACAGTTTACAACTTCACTCAGTTGAATATAAAACGAAACAACTGAACTCTTTTTTGGTATTACGAATTATAATTAATTTCAGTTAAAGATGTATTTTGGTTGCTAACCAAAGAGAACTGTAAAAGTGTTCATTTGACAGATGCTTTAACAACAAAAAGTTAAAGGAATACAATTTGTTATACATATGCTTGCGTAAGTTAAATTAGAACTAAAATTTATTGGTTTTTTTTAAAATAACAACAACCAAGTTTTTCAGAACTGTGACCAAGGGTCTTTGTGATCACCCGCCAAGATCACTATCACGAAAAAGTTAGACGATGACAACTCAACTTTAATATCCTGAACAGTTGTTATCAATAATAGCGAATAAGAAAAATTTCACTGAAGTAGAATTGAGTAAGCGAAGTGGCACAGAAGGGGCATGGGTGGATGTAGCAGAAGAGCTATCTAGTACGCGTGAGTAGTATAACATATTTTATTATCGACATATAGATATACATACATATGTATTTCAAATACAGTAGCTAGCAGTGTAATAGATACAAAAGATTAAAAAAATTCGATGTCTCTTACCTTCTATATTTTTGTAAAATTCATCATTCTGGAATTATCCAATTGTATATCCTAATATTTTTTTTGACTGTCGAACTGTATCAGTGACATTAAGATTGTACGTATAGTGAAAAATAAAAATACTTTTTTACGTCCGCATAGTTAATAAAGTTATGCTCCCTTTTGCTGAGTGGAAGTTGCCTCTTAAGTGTAGGTTTCAAAATTACAAAGACTCCAAACATTCGTCGGCCCAGGCCCGAAATTGGTTTCTTCGTAATTAAATAGACGTTTTAATTTGGTCTCCCTAATCTCCGAACCTAAATACTCGGACAGTAAAGAACTTGTGGATAATGGTCAATGAAAAAATCGGAAACGTCGCGTCGAAAAAAGAGGAAGAATTATGGTATTGCATACCTCATACTACTTGTACGATCCTAACGCCCTCAATGCCAAAAAGAGACCAAGCTGTGATGATAAATATTAGCTATTCGATAAACTAATATCAATTATTTGAAGTGTACATACCATTTAAGAGTAAATTATTCTCCAATAAAATGCTTTTGTTTTATTTTAAGTAACAGGTGAACTTACTGAATGGGCCAATAATGTATAACACTTATTTCTTGAATTTTTCATTGGTTGTGATCGGGTTGCGAATTTTTTAATTCAACAATTTAAAAATTAGATTTAAAATTAGATTTAAATTGTTTAATCCCGATGTTGGTATTATAAATTGATAATTGAAAATATTATTTTTGGAATGTTCATTCTAAAACAAATTCTGTTTTAATTCTTAATCAGATATATGCTTAAGGTGAAAATTTTTATTTTTAATTTTTAAGTCCGGTAGTTGGGATTAAAAATTAAATATACAAAGAAAAAATACATTTTTAACCCAGTGTTTTGGGACTAAAATTTTTTGTATATTTTAATCCGGTGTGTGGGATTAAAAATTTTAAAATTATTTTTTGGTAATTGTGGGAATCGGTTGTGAAAGAAATTTTCTTAATAGACTATTGTATTTAACAGGACTTTTCTTCTTACTATTATTTTGTGTGACACTGTATATGGGAAACAAAAAAAATTTTGACAGACTATAAATATTTTAATTTAGACACACGTACATGAACGAAGGACAATCTGTGCTAATTTCACTATAAGTCGATAGATAGCGTTATAAAATTTCAGTTCACAACATACACATAAATTTTTTTTGGTATAATTTACGTGAGAGATGTAAAGGTAATGAGCGAAATTATTCTGTTCTAATCAGATATCTCAACACATATTCTCGTTCATTTTTAATAATTAACTAGAATACAATTCGATTATAACCCAGAAAATCTCGGCTACCAGAAGTGCAATACATTGAAAGAATTTCTCAATTATCCTGGACATACCTATCCTAGATATAGATCATATTGATGTTATATCTCTTTCTTTATAATTTATGGCATCCATGCCAGCCAAAAGTGGTAAAAAACTAGTGAAACACTAGGCCATGATTCAATTATATTGTTGGTTGTGTTACTTCGGAGCGTGCTTTCTTATGAGAAAAACGCATACTGGTTGAAATCTTAAAAACATTTGATTTAAAACACGTTTAAAAAATTGTAGTTTTTGCGCTATCGACATAACCTTATATAACACAATCATGCACTAGGTCAGCCTTGAATTTAAAATATTTTTAAAATTTTAAACAAAATTTTTAATTTTTAATAAGTATTTATTTATTACATATAAATTATTTTACATACTTTTACTATAAGTTATAAACTTAAATTCAACCTAAACTAATTCATCAGCTTTTATGCGCTATGTATAGCAAAAAACAAAATATAAATGAAATTCGTTTAAAAATTAAATAAGTTGTCGCAATTAATTTTTATAACCGGGTCTCATTTTTGGTGCAGGAAAGAATGGATTCCTTTTAAATAACAAACAAAATGTATAATACACAACTTATAGCATGAAATTATAAAAGCTTTATTCTGTTGGAATTTGATCAATCATTGGAGTTTCTAGGCGCTTAAGTCATTGACCGCGTAGATGCTAATTCACGGTCCTATATGCGTATACAATACAGTCATGCAGAGAGTATAAAGAAGTCCATCACATTTTCAATGAAATGTTTATATGCCTGGAAATAAAAAAAATGTTACAATTGAGAGGACATCCAATGTAAGGAATATATGTACGTTGATTGTTATGCTGGAAAAGTGAAAAAAAAAATAGTTAAATACAAATTTATAAAATCACAACATTTTGCACTAATGACAAATATTTTTTCTCATTCGCACTCATTCAATAAGATCAAGAAACAAGATAGCGTTTTGTTTGTTTAGAAAATTCGAAATTAGTTTAAAAATATATTCCAAAAGTGTGTGTATGTATTATGTAATTGTGTTCAAAATTCTGAAGAAAGTCGAATGTGTCTTCAAGTAAGATGTTTGTAAGCAGTAGATGAAAGAATAGAAAATATTAAAAAAAGCAATAGTAATATAAAAAAAAAATATAAATGATTTTCGGCTATATTAAGTAAGGCCTTTGTGAGTTTGAACCATTTGCAATCGTCGCTACATTGGCCCATTCTTTTACAATTGTTTCTTAAAGCTGTTTTAGAGATTCGAATTGGAATGCCCCATAGATCCTCTACTGAATTAAGATCCAGATTTAGAGCGGGCCACTACAGTAACAGCATGCTATGCTTTTGCCTTGGTGTACTTTACTACATGTAATGGTGCTTTGTCTTATTGAAATATCCAGTATTCGCCATGGAACCCTTCATCGAATGGGATAACCTCGCTTTCCAACAGCTCTACATATTTTCAGCATTCATACGAGTAGGTACAAAGCATATCTTGTATTTCTCTCAAATTCAGCCCATACCATCAGGGATCCCCCACCATTGTTGCACTTGTGGCAAATCTCACTGATAGTTCTAGCTGAACTTTAATTTTGAGCAACTCGTCATAGCCTCAGTGGCAAGTTCTCTATTGTGCCGTCTTGTGCTTTCGCTTATTCTTCTGGATCTTTTATAAATTTAATGATTGTATATCGATGATTGTATCACACACGGTTTTTATTTTTAACTGTTCTTCAATTGAGATTTCCGTTGCAAGCGGCATTCTAAGCTAAAAAAGAAATTGTTCATTTCATTTTATTTCTTACGTTGTTGTTTTTAATAGCTGTCGATTTTGATGAACGTGTGTTGACGCTGCTGCACTCAGAGAACAATTAAAAAATGCCCATATAGCTATTTGCTATGAAACCTTTGACCTTTCGCTCTTAAAGGTGCTAAAAATGAGTAAGTGATTAGAAGTAAATCATGGCGAATAAATACAAAATACAAACGAAAAACAGACTACTTAAAAAAATATGCTGTTATGCTAAATTTTGCCCATACAGTGCTATTCAAAATGTAACGTTTTTGTTTTCTAAGTGTAGGTAGCGTTTATTGGTAAATATTTTGTAACTTTAGAAAATACCTTATTTTGTTATATCTGGAATTTATTCAATACTTGCTTCAATCTCCCGCGTGGCTCATTATAACCTGTCATCTTTGATGACAAGGTTCATGTAAATATTCCGCATATTCCACGGGAAGCGATCTCCGGGTATGTTAGAGTAGAGAATGAAATATTTTGCAGACGTTAAATCTTCATATTTTGGTGTTCATTAAAGTCCAAACATTTTCCATTGGATTGGGGTGACTCTGATGACCAATATCACAGCCCCACGATAATAAACACTTTTTGCATTTGCTAAAAATTTTGATCAGTGGAAAAGTCAATATGATTTAATGAATACTAGTAATAGACGTATGTTATATTAAACGACAAAAACTACACGTTGGCAGTACTAACTATTTTTAGTTTTCTCATCCCTTTTTAACATGATGCAAAATTTGTACAGAAAAGCTCACGTGAAATTTGTTTCTGCGTACCCCGCTGGCTTTGTCCTTATTTTAGATTTCCCGTGATTCCTCTCTCTTCCTGGTCTGACAACTCCGTTTCCTAATCTTCTTCACAAATGTACAACTCGTATTTAAATAGTCCATTTGGGACTATTACGATGCTTCGTTAGAAGAACTGCTTCAAAACGTTTCCTATACTGAGCACTAATATTTTTTCATTTCACAGAACAGCGTTATACATTAAGAAAATCGAAAAAAAACTAACCGAATTGTACGCGTCAGTGATCGCAAGTGAACATGTCTTAATTTGCGAAAAAACTGTGTATCGGAAATTGATCCGGAATATTGTAACAAAATTTTATTGGAGGAAAGCGAAAGTCGTGTTGCTACCAAAAATTCAAATGACAATATGGATTCAAATAGCTATTATGAACATTCTGACACGTTAAACCAAGACCATAGCGCGGATATGTCCCAATATACATCTAACGAGTATAAGAGGAGACCTGATACTTCTTCAACAATATTTAACTTTATTCATTCATTTGAGCTCAGTATTACCTGTCTTAAACAACCACCACACTTTGAAAAATGCTTTTACTACTTTTACTTACATATATCATTATAATATCGATAAATGTATAGTTTAGGTTCCCCAACTAAGGAGGCCTTAAAAATTAAAATTTTTTGTTTAAATCATCTTATTTTTACGCGTAGATAACAAATCCGTGAGCGGAAAGTGAATTTTTTCAATAATTTATGTATATTTTTTAAAATTTATTTAACACACTTTGCACATATCACATATTCAAGTCACTTAGTTGTGGTTGTTGTAGCGGAAAAGTTCTGTAGAATTCAGATCACTTAGCTGTAATTACCAGTTTAGCGTGTTAAACATTTTCTTATGAAAAAAATTAACTGAAGAAATGTAACAGTCACAATTTCTTTTGCGCCGCGATCTGATCGTATGGAGGAATATCGGAGATCGTCGAACTCCTTTCGGCACTGGCGGCCTTCGACAAAAAAATAACCCTGGTCGGTCCAAAAACGAGGTGTTCATAATTCAATCGCGTCAAACTCCTTTTCGCTGTTCTCAACCTCGAAGATAATTTTCATCACGATGCTGAGTATGTGTAATTATTAATATCACAATAAAAGTGCACTAACATTGATATTTTAATATTGTATAAATTTTCATTCACTTTCCGCTCACGGATTTGTAATCTACGCGTGAAAATAAAACGATTAAAATAAAATTTAATTTTTGAGGCCTCCTTAGTTGGGGGACATAAACTATACATTTAACATAATATCTTATATAATAATTATTAATTTACTTAAAATACTATTACGCATCTACATTTGCTCGAATACAGCTGCCGTTCGACAACAAAATACCAAATTGTACTTTACGTGAGAATATTGTCTGACTACCGCAGACAATTTCGTATATTATCAAATACTATCAACCCTCTATTTTCACAAAAGATGAAAAATATCAATATACTATGTACATATGCTCGCATGAATTATGTAACACCACACACTAAACATAGTTGTTGTGTTAATTGTATAATACCATTGTATATTAGGTTGCGTTGTTGACGGACTAACCGGTCATTCATGGCGGTTTAGCAGTGCATTGACTGTTTTGACAATTGACAATAGAATACACAAGGCAGCCATAAAATATAAATTAGACAAAAACTTTCTTAAAGAAAAGATTTAAGCAGCAAAATCGTTAAAACTTATATATGTAGGTGTTTAATTTTTTTTCATATTTAGGCAATTCACAATCTTTGTCTTATGTCTTATGTCGTATTTCAACTGTGAGCACCCCTTAATTGTTGTATGCCATATTGTGTAATATTTCTACATTTCACCAGCTGGTAGTGAAAAATTAAGAATACAAAAATGCCACAAGAAAGTGACAAAAATAAAATTAAAGCTTCTGTATGTTGAAACGGCGGTGTTTTGGTTTACATTGCAATAAAATCATTTCCAACCACAGAAACAACAAAATATTTTTATATTTCACTTTTCTTCAACTTAATTTACCTGAATTTATCGTGGATTTCTTCCATATTATTAAAGAAATTGATGAACTTTTTTTTTTTATTAAATTTAGACACTTAAACGTCAACAATAAAAAAAGTAAACCGATTCAGCTAATAGAATAGCACACTCAAAAAACATACCTCGCCGTGTTGTATTCGTCGTATTTCAATTTTGCATGGGAAACAACAACAGTGTTGATATGACAGTTATAGGCGATATGACACAATATGACACCTTGTGAATACCCTAATAATGTATTTACAATATGTCGAGTGACAATAACCAAGTGCAATTATGTCTACATATATTGCTACTGATGCTGAAATTGCAATTTGTCTATTAAATAAATTAAACTCATTTGAAGTATAACATTTGTACTATATATTACAATTCGCTTAATTTGGAATTATACTTTACAACGTAATCATGTCAGTTAAACTTAAGATCTAAATGCAGCCGGCTTGTCTTTTCACTGTTGTCCAGTAGCTAGATGTCGTGTATGTTGGAGTGGCAGATTAGTTAATTAAGATATCTCGATTTGCTTTTCTAAATTTCGCACTTCAACGTATTCATTTCTCAACCTGAGGGTTTCCGACTGATATATTTGAAATATTTCTCAAACCGGGTTTTATAAAATATCGCCTTGTTTTTAAGACTAAGTTTAGATTTATTATCCAGTAACCAGTACATTTTTCTGATGCTGATCTCGTTTGGTTTTTATGTGCTGCTGCCAAGTCAGTCCTTTGTCCAAGTGCATCCGAGGTACTTAAGGCAAATGCATTTTGTAATCTAGGTGTCTGTAATCTAGAGCGCCGCTGGCAGTATCAAAAGCTTGTTGAATGTCTAAGAAAACTGCCGAACAGTACTGCTTTACCAGGAATTCTCGTATGGTTTTAACGATTCTGTAACACTGTTGAGAGGTTCCATATAGTTGCCTGAATCCAAATTTAAGGTCCGGATAGAATAGGGATTCCAAAACAAGTAACAATCGTCGAAGAAATAAAAATTTTTGAGAATATTGTCAGCAAACTTATTGGTCTGTAAAAGGATATTTCGTTTTTGGGCCTTTTTGGATATTATTTGGATCAAGCAACTTAGAATTTTTCAGCTGCGACACTTCTGCTTTTACTTCAGTCAATTTTACGTAAGGCATTGATTTATCTATTTGACATGACAGTCAAGAATAGTCTGAACATTCTGACGCTGTTGGTCACTATTAGCCGAAAGCGTCGGCGTTTCTTTTGTCAGATCTACACCACGAGTTATCTACATCTTTTCCTGATACTTGTTGCTTCGGGGGCGTTTTAGATATTTGGTGGCTTTCCATAGATTACAATCATCGATTTATTTGGATTGGAAGAAGTTCTGCTATAGAGTCTTCTTTTATTTCTGCCAACTTAAATTTTAATTTTTTGGCTGCTTTGTTCAGCACGGTTTTATCAACCGGATTTCTGCTATTCTGTCAGACCCTTCGAGGTCGTCTTTTATTTTGTACCGACCTCTTACTTAAAATATGCTGCTTACGAGATGTAAAAAAGACAGGCATATTTATATTGATAATGAGAGCAGAATGATCTGAGCTCATATCTTCATTATTAGAACTTTCTAGATGATTTGGATTCATGCCAATATAAATTGCGAAGTCAATTAGACCCGGAATTTTGGTAGGATCGATTGTCCAATAAGTGGGACCGCCAACAGACAAACAGAGCTTACATATATTTTTTAACATTATTGCAAAAAGGTGAAAGAAAATGCCGAAAAGAAAAAAGACAGAAAAATGTCCAAATTCCTGTGAAAATTATATAGCATAAAATATAATTAAATTTTTTGTTGAGGTGGTATTTTATGAAATTATATAAAAATTCATAATTTGACGGGTTTCTCACTAAATAAAGAGAAAATCGCAAATATCTAATAGAGATATTCGGTATTTAAAGCAAAAAAAAAGTATCAAAAACTGCTGATGAATACTATAATACACTCACATTTGTTAGGTCAGTAGTGACGCTCACTTTACTGCTCAATTGATCGTCAGTGGTATTGTTAATAACGGATTTTTATACTCTCACAACCTGTTGCTACAGAGTATAATAGTTTTGTTCACCTAACGGTTGTTTGTATCACCTAAAACTAATCGAGTTAGATATAGGGTTATATATATTGTATATAAATGATCAGGATGAAGAGACGAGTTGAATTCCGGGTGACTGTCTGTCCGTCCGTCTATGCAAGCTGTAACTTGAGTAAAAATTGAGATATCTTCATGAAACGTGGTACACACGGTTGGAATGGTGAAATCGGATTACAACCACGCCTATTTCCCATATAACAGCATTTTAAATTCCATCTGATGTTTTCACTTTCCAGTATGCAAATCAAGCAACAATGATTATATCGGCGTAAAACTTTGCGTGAATAATACGTTTAAAGTATGCCACTTTGTGACCAAAAATTGTCTAAATCGAATCAAAACTGTTCAAGCCCCTAGGTTCTGAATATGTGGACCCCAGTGCCTATAGTTGACTTTTTACCGAAAATATCGGTCAACATAGAACAAGGCGGCAAGATCCACAAAGAAATCTAAAACGAGTATACTATTTGACTTTGGGATAGTATAAAATGTTCGGTTACATCCGAACTTAGCCTTTCCCTTGCATGTTTATAATTAATTTAATAACTTTTAATGCAAAATTTATGTACTTACATACAATTTCGCATTTATTTTGCCCTATGCCTGGGCATGTATTATTTTCGGCCCTTCTCAAAGGGGTGAGAGTAAATATGCGCCATTTTCATCGAGAAAAGAAAACGCTATAATGGTCAGTTTTGTGGGTGTGGAAAAGAAACACTTAGCACAGTGCTCAGGAGTTTCGAGAAATAGGGAAATACCAAGAAGGACATTGCTTGGGAAAAATTAAACAATTTGAACGTTGCTCTAGTTTGAAAATATTATTGCCGCTTGTGATTAAGAAATAAAATGAAGGTGTAAAGGAGGTATAAGGATAGTATGCATATAAATTGCAAAACTAAAAAATTATATTATAAATTAATTTTCTTTTCTACTTAGGGGTGAATCTAAATTCGTTAAAAGGATGATTAATTAATTTTTCGTTCTAAGCTTTTTATTGTACAGAGTTTTGTTCACCTAACGGTTGTTTGTATCACCCCAAACTAATCGAGCTTGATATAGGGTTATATACATATAAATTATCAGGATGAAAAGACGTGTTTTTAATATGGGCGTGGCCCAGCCCACTCCCCATATAACGGTTTTGATTAAAACTACTAAAAGTGCGTAAATCTTTCAATAAACAAGTCAGAGACTTTCAATTTTACACATATTGTGGTATAATAATAACCCAACGATTACCCTCCTCCCGCCCAAGCGGAGAGAGAGATTAGAACTTTCTAGATGATTTGGATTCATGCCAATATAAATTGCGAAGTCAATTAGACCCGGAATTTTGGTAGGATCGATTGTCCAATAAGTGGGACCGCCAACAGACAAACAGAGCTTACATATATTTTTTAACATTATTGCAAAAAGGTGAAAGAAAATGCCGAAAAGAAAAAAGACAGAAAAATGTCCAAATTCCTGTGAAATTATATAG